CCGTGATGGATTCCCAAGTAATAGGAATAGTACTGCGTGGAATAGGCGAGCATTGATTAGTAGTGTTGGTGCCCGGAAAACAGGTCAGATGAGACTAATTTTCAGACCGAACCGGAGAGTGTAGTAAACCGGTAATCGTAGCGAAAATGTGGGTCGTTAGCTTGAAAACGGTCGAGGGTAGGGGCTGCTTTTTCTTCTGTAAAAATTGCGGAATATTTGCGTCGTAAAAGATTTTACGTCGGTCCCTTTAACATAAAAATTTTCTTAGCTTTGCGCCAAGACATTAAACCCAGGAACGTCTATGTATTTAAATTGCTTCCTCTCTAACTATATTGTGTTGGTGAATATAAAATATTTTCTTCAGCAGAGTTATGGATTTCATTTAAATAATTTATCAGTTATTTCTACACTCTGCTAGATCAGTAAATTATTTAATTATGATAATGATTATTTAAATTGTGATTCTTAGAATCTGTTCATTCATTATACAGTTCTGAGTTCCTTCTATGATAAATTGTACATTTTGTTATATTGTCAGAGCGTTTCGTTCGTTATATATTTTCTCACATTCTTTACGAAGAAGAGTTTATAGATAAATGTTTGCGTTTGTATAGTTTAATAGTGATAGTAAGGCGTTTAGGGTGGAAGAATGAGTGAATGAGATGGAATAATTGTAAATCATTTCTAGTTCACGAGATTAAACTAAAACATTTATATATACAGATTCTTCTGATTTCCATATGCACTAACGTAATAGATACCACAATTGTTAATTTATGTCCTTCTGTATCCTTCAAATCATTAGCTTGTCTCCATTGCAGTATTTTAAGTTGAAGAAACAAAGTAACTAATTAAATTGCCAGTGTTAAATATGTTAGCAAATATTGTCTTATAAATAGCACATCAATTATTTTGTTCCAATAATAATTTTTCTGACTAATATTAATTGCTGTGTAAATATAATGCATAACGTAATGACAAACGAATGGAATAAATCTGAATATAAATAGTTTCGAATTTCGCACGAGGTCATAAGTGAACACGTAACTGTAACACATGCCCCATGTAACGCTTGTTAATTAATCCGTTAAGTCTAGTCGACGGTTTTGCGTTGGCACGTTTCGCCGCACAAATTCATCTAATGTAATAAAGCGTTCCCCGGGTGATAATTAAATTCGTTGCCCGTTAGCCAGCGACACGGTTACCTTACTAGGTGGTCACTCGATTAATTGTTTCAAAAGTTGTCTCATCCGATCGCAGAGACGATTAATCGTCGCAATTGTACGATTATCAATTTCTTCCCGGATTCTGGATATATGTATTTAAACGCGCCCCATCGAGGTCATCATTGACATGGCACGGGCGACGAGTGCGATTCGATGGCATAAACGACGAATTACAATGATTTCTCGATATAAATTCAAACTTTCTTTACGATATATGCATAGAAACTGTACCACTTATAAAAGAAGGCAGCCTTGAAAAGTGTCTCGAACTTTCAGTTCTTCTTTCCACTTCACTAGCTGTCTTTTTCGTCCGACGCTCGGTCAAACATTTCTTTTTTACGATAAATGCACGCGTGCAGATCCGAGGCTTGTGCACATATCGAGAAATCACTGTAATTTGCTGCGGTCTAATTGCAACGATTAATCGCTACAATCGGCCTGAAGTCCAAGGGAAGGGCTACTTTACGGGGCGGTATCTACACGTTCTCTAAACAGCCAAGCGCTGTGAAACATTATTCTCTTTTTCTGATCGTGCAGGTAACAGCAAATGCAGCGAGCAGACAAAAATCTAAAACGTTTAACATTAATATTTCTTTCCGCTATTCCGCTATAAGAGCTCTCTGATTGGTCGTGGTTTTTCTCGACAATAGCTCGACAACCACGCCTCGAACAACATTTTGATAAAGGAAAACATTGTTTAAAATCACCTCAAGGACCTCCCATTTCCGAGCGTAGTATTAGCTCTGAGACACCCGGTGTATCTGGATCCCAGAACCATGATGTATTAAATTAACTGATAGATAAAATAATTGGACTCAATACACTTTGGCTCTGGCATTCAGATATGAGAAATTAAAAACAACTTCGAGTAAAAGAGAGAAGCTGTAACATCATTTTTGTAATATTTCGATTTAAATTCACTTGCTGTATCATTTACGTGCATATTATAGATAATTACAAATCACGTCACATGTACATTATATTTTATCAGTAAATTACATTAATTATAAATTTGAAAACAATACCAAAACTGGAAGTTCTTAATTGGTTTTATAGTTACATGAAACTGAATACTATTTTCCATTAAGATCTCTGGATAAGGCACAGTAAAAGGAAGACACGACTAAGAAAGGATTTCTCTCTCAGTTGTACGAGGAGAGAAAAGTAATTACAGGGACCAGATCTTTTATTCTGTCTCTTCTTTTTTTTATCGTTACTACTTCGAGTTGGGTAAGTAGTTCGTTGAGAAGTTTTCTGACAAATTGAACGGTACAACGATACTATTCATTATTGTTCCGTTCCAAAAGGAGGAAGGAAATCGCATTTGGGAAGAAATCGATTTGCAATGTTCAATACACGATACTGTTAGATATCTGTATGTATAGTTGTTTGATACAAATCATCAGTTATCCTACTTCCCTTCCCTCCCCTCCATTTCTCTATTTCTTTTGTAACTCTTAGAATGGGATTGTTCGTCGAAATCCGAGAGGCCTCGCTATTTTTAGCCGCGGATCGCAAACCTGATAAGTCAAAGAGTTCTGGAAACAAGTTGTTACAATGTGTGTATAGAGTTCGATACTTCTTACATATACATATATATATGTATATACAGCAATATACACAGATAAAACTTTCGTATCTAGATCCAATGACTATAGAAAGTATTTGTACACTATCAATAAAAAATGGAGACTTCTAATAACGTTCTCATGCGATTAGAAATAACCGATACAGTAAGAACCTGATTTAAATCGTGATCGAAGAGCTTTTCCAGTGTAAAATACTTTTTGTAGCCACTGTATCTACTTGCGCCAGAGATAGAAGCTGCTGGTTATAAATTTTGAAGCCGGTACCGTGATACATCGGCACTCTGCCTCGCAAGCATCGAGAGACATTGAAAAAATAAACAGAACAAAAGAATCATCAAAGGAACATCTTTTCAAAAGAGGTCATTCTTTTGGAAAAGAAGCGACAAATCGAAAAATGAAGTCTCGTTCGTTTCTGCTTGATGCAACGCAACCCTTCGACTTCTTTTTATTCTTATTCCGATTGTTGTTTGAATGACAATGCACAGTATGTACATATTGTATGTAGTATATTGGTGCGCCTTCTCGAGGAGCGTGTATCTCGAACGGCGAGCAACATCAGTACAAAAACTTCTATGTACAAGGTCTAACGGGGAAAGAAAGAAATATGCCTAAGGATAGTCAATGCAACCTAAACACGGTCTGCACAATGGATGCATTCACACGTTGCCGCGCGCGATCTCGAAAGATGAGAGAAAGTTCACGCGCGAGATTTGCTCGTGCAGAAGACGTTTAGACCTGAATCGCTCTTAATCGTGCGCGTCTCTTCTTTTTCTATCGAGCTCGAAGGTCATCTCGGGAGTTTCATAAACTTTCACCCTTATGTATGCTACACATGAAACTGTTTATTCGATAATTTTTTACGTTATTATTATACATCTATTAGGTTGGTGCATATGAAAGTTTTCAACAGCCGACACAATTCTTATAAAATATTGTACATTTCATTTAAAAACAAATGATTAAATTTTATTATCTCAGGTGTATTACAGATTTT